AACCAGCTACTAGATGGTTCGATTAATCTTTCGCCCCTATATCTACATATCAAAGAGATAGAAAAATAATTCGAAATCTCCAGAGATTTTCGATCGCGCGGCCCGCATATCCAGTCCAATCTATTGATTTCATTTATCTCTCTTAGATTTTCTGCGCAGCGGCTCAGGAGACCGCATAAATCCCCATAGGCAGATATTCTTTGTCTCGGATTTTTTCGCTCCGCCGAGTAGTCACGCAGATACTCAAATAGAGATAAATTACGCGGAAAACCGCTCCGGAGGCGAGGGCCGCGCGACCAAAAATCTCCGAGATTTTTGAACGCGTCAGCACCATAAATCTCGGAGATTTTAGAATCTCTAGCTTTATCGAAGGGCTCTAATATTTCCGAGATTTTAGGATCTCTAGGGAGCCCGCCGGAAGCGATTTAATGGGGAATCGGAAAAGCCAGGCCGCGCGCAAACGAAATGGCCGTAAATGATTTCGCCGCAATATTGAGATATATTTAGGGAAAATATATAATATTATAATAGAAAGATATAAATTCTTCTAGAAATATTTCTTGATTTTTAGAAGAAATTAGAATTCTTCATATGAAATATTTTGAATATATTCAATTATAATGAAGTTTTCATATTCTCAAGATATAATTCAAAATCTATTTTTGATAATTTATATATCGATCTAAGGAAGAAATATGAGATTTCAGATTTCTATTTTATATATAATTGAATTCATTTTTTCTATCCCTAGAAATATTTTTAGATTATCATATCTCATATTCTTGAAATATAGATATCTCAAGATTCCAAATTTTGGAAATTTAGATATTTCAAATCAGATAATTCGATCTTCGAGGATTTAGAAATCTTCAAATTCTCAGAATCTTCGAATTTCTAAAAAATAGAATTTCGAAAATTGAAAATCTAGAATATCTATTCTTTGAATATTCGAGATTTAGAATTATCGAGTATATATTTCAATTTCAAAATCAATGCAGAAAACAAGAAATTCAGATGAGATAGAAGAAAAGATGAAAATCTATTGAGATAATCATTCTAATGAGAAATGATATATAGATAATAAAATGATTTTTATATATCGCAATATTTCTTGGTAAGAAATCTAATCTTTATAAATTCCTATATAATCTAAAATTCCATTATTTTCAAATAGTTTTTCTAATCATATCCCTGAATTTTATATCAAATCCTCTCTTCTTATATCTGGGTCCTGCGATGGCATATTTGAATCTCTATCGATAGGTGAAATAGCAAATATCTATCAATCTCCCCGATTCTCATCTGAAATTCTCTCTTATCGAATATATAACGAAACGGCTTACTCATAGATATCTTATATTTCTATTCATCTAGAATCATATGATAGATATATCTTATAAGATTTGATCGAGATGATATATTTGTCATATAATATAGATCCTGCCAAGATTGATATTTTCAATCAGAAATATTATTGACAATATATTTTTTGAACGGTTTATTGAGATTTATATCTGATTTTGAGCGCCCTATAACCTCCCAAGAATTAATATCATGAGATCTATTTAGATTCCCAATTTCCTTCTTCAGATTCATATATGAGATTTCAAAATCCCTCCAAATTTCTAGATATAATGAAACGACCAAAATGAGAAATGAAAATCTAATTAAAATGATATTTTGATATAGATTAATGAATTCTATCTAAAGATCTATTTCGAAGATATATTAATCTTATATCCTCTCAATTTTCTTCAAATATTCATATATGAAAATCTTAAAAGAATATTTTATTCATCTATTATGAATAGAATTCATTTATGAAAAATCAGAAATCATTTATTCATATAATATTTTTCTTAAAATCATTTCATAAATTCTAATCAACGAAATAAGAAAATCATCTTTCAATTATAAATATAATCAATATCTATCATAATCTAATACATTTCGTATCTAATTTGAAATCATAAAAATACAATCAATATTGAAGAAGAATATTCTCCTCAATAAATATATTCTCAATTTAAACAATCTAAAGCTTCGAATTCTCATTATATTGAATCATTCTCGAAAATCTAGAAATTTGAAGAATCATATTTTCAAGATTTCCAAAATAATATTGATCTCCAAGATAATTTAATTTTCAAATCTTCTAGAAAAAAGAAAATCAGAAATATAAAAATCGTCAAAAGATATTTGGCATCTCAGATCAATAAATAAATAGGATTCAAATCATTCGACGATATATAAATATAATAAATATAAATCCAAATACGAATCATCAAAATAAAGATTCAATATAATTCGAATCTAGAAAGATTAATAAAATAGTAAATCTCTTAAAGAAAGATTCATTCGTCGAAATTAAGATTAACTGAATATTATAAAATTTCAACGATTTGAATCCAGAATAGAAATCTCAAAGATCCGATCAAAATAGATATCTATCATAAGAGATTTAAGATTCTCCTCCTAATAAGAGACTCCCAAAATATGAATATGAATAAACGATAATATAGATTTATGCGAATAAAAGATAAGAAAATAATAAGAAATATAAGAAAGAATAAATATAGATATAGAAATTAGAATTTTCCGCCCTAGAGATAGAAATCTAAAAAAAATCCAAATCCACAATATCCCGCAAGATCTTATAAAATTCCTATATCCAAAAATCTGAAGCAATCACTTATATTCGCGACCTAGCAGAGAGATTAAATTGAATATGATAAATTTTGGAAAAAAATTAAGCTAAAATCAGAATGAAAGAAATATTAATAGATCGCCTTATCCTCCTATATCCCAATCAAAAATATTTATAATTTAAATCAGAAGAGAATAACATAATATACGAGAAGATAACAAAAATAATATATATAAATAAAGATAAAATTAAATAGAAATGATAAGAAATAATTTAGAAAAAAAACCGAAGAAAATAATAGAAAAGAATTTAAAAATATAATTCGAATAAATCATAACGAATAAGAGAAAATAGAAAATATATATTGAATATGAAAAAAATATGAAAATCAATGCTCTGCCAGAAAATACGTATGAATAAAGACGAAATAATATAATGAAAATAAATAGGATTCATATCATAAATCAAATAAATATCGTCTTATAATTAGAAATCAATTTTAAATAATTTATCATTAATTTATTCCGATAAACCCTTAGCCTAAATAAAAAATTGAAAATATTAGAATTCTATATTCAAAGCATCAATTTCCTCTATGCCAACCGTCTAGAATAATCATTATGCTATTGAATCTTAATTAATTAGGCTTCAATATTGAGAACGACAAGATATAACAATAAAATAAATATGAATCGAATAATAATAAATAATACGGCATAATAATAAATAAGAAATATCATCAAATAGTAGCGAGCGTCAAGAAATAAAAATAAATGAAATCATATAAATGATTGACTAATAATAAGCAATAATATTCTTTGGGAGAGGGGAGAATTCATATTGAGAGGGAATTCTTAAGAGATCTATGGATCCGTTCTTATTTTAGAGAGGCAAAATATAAGTCATTGGTCGTATATTGAAATATTTTTTTTTTTTGATTCCCCTTTTCTCCTATGAATTTAGATTTATATCACGAAATTTTCTATTTCGGAAATATATATATATACATATCTCAATAGATATCTATCAGAAGTTCCAAGGATTTTTTTCCTGTAGCCTTTGCTCGTACCGCTCGAGATACTCGTCCAGGAACTCGCCAGCATCACTAATGCCAGCCTCAAGTCACGAACAAACAGATTGAGAGATCATTCCCAATCTAGGGTTTATTTGCTTAGGGTTTAGGGTTTATTCGTTTAGGGCTTAGGGAGACCCACTCCGATGCCATGGAAACAGGAATCTCATTCAGGAAGACTACCTATCCATCATGAGCATCCCATTCCTGGCACCACATAACATCAAAGGTCTCTGATGACAACTGGATTCAAAGAAAGAAACGCGTCAGGAGCCAGGTGCCCGCGAGCTCGTTCAAAAAACACATTCCTGGATCTGGCACACCAGGCATCCTCATCTATCACCATATCAGAGCCATCAGGATCACTGCAAGCATCACCATGATTGTCGTCGTCATCATCATCATAGTAGCAGTGGCAAGGTAGACAAAGGAACTTGCCATCGTGAATGCAAGAGGGATAGTTACAAACGAACGAAGTGCAGAGGAAGTAGCTGTAGAAGCAGCGGCAGCTGGACGATGAGGAATAAGAGCAGCAGGAGTCGGTGTGGAGTAGCGCTGAGCGTCTTGGTAGTGTCAGTGGCAATGGTATTGATAGCGGTAGTGGAAGCAATTCGTGCCACCATGCTTTTGACAAGTTCCAAGAATGGTCAGTCTCAGAAACGCCGTTGGCCATCATGATAAACAGTGTGGCTGCAATTCTTGCCAGTCCTAGCACTCCAAGATCCAGATCGCAACATAAGAGCCAAAGAACTCCGGCCCAAAAATGCAAGCCCGTCAGAATTGCCTCTGCAAATTTCGAGGACGGGCGGTGAGAAGTTGCTACAGAGGATTGAAAGAGTCCTCTACTCCCTTTATTGTCATCTTACAGCCCAAAAAGCCCGATGTACCCCATGCAATGCGGCTTTGAGTGCTGCCCCACCTGAAACATGCGGATGCCAGCCACCGGATCGCTTGGATCCTCGTCAGGGTGATGTGGGCTATTGTCTGAACTCCTAGTATCCCTTCTTAAAGGCCTCTGTAAATGGAGAAGAAAATGAAATGGAAACTGGGGTTCATAGGGCTTTATGAGCTATTGTCTCAACTCCTAGTATCCCCCCTTACTAGCGCACATGGTACTCCCCGATATTATCCCCTATATAACCAACCCCCTTTAAGGAGTTTAGACTACAGCTCATGTGCGGGTGACAGCATTGCATTGGGGACTTGAGGTTCCAGATTATTGAGACACACCCATGTCGGCATCACTATCCAGAACCCAGGCCTATAGGGATCCGAGTTGAGAATCTGCGTTCGTGGACTCAGATTTTAGTTGTTGCAGATTTCGGGTTGTCGGTTTTGGAATTCAGGAGTTTCTTTGGCAAGCCTTTTAAACAAAGCCAGCTGGTACGGGGACTGGTATTTTGGTAGGGGACACCTGGACATACTGCCGTGGCTTCAATTTAAAACAGATTTCAAGTTGGAGGTTTGGGTTTGAGGGTCTGGGTGTTAGGTTGCTTAAGGAGTTGCGGCAAGCCTCTATTTGGTTAACAAAAAGCAAGCACAGCAGCAAGAGGAATCAGAATCATGATCATGAGAAATGAATGTGGCCTTAACCATTATATAAGTCAAAATACTGCTAATATTTGGGTTATATTGGGATAACGGAAATGGAAATGGATACTACTATGGTATATTGGCATATACATGAGGGTTATATTGGGATAATGGGAGCGGAAATGGATACTACTATGGTATATTGGGGTATATATTAGGGTTATGTTGGGATACTGAATAAGAAAATGGAAACTACTGCAATATCTTTGGCAAGGAAAATACCATAGTATATTGGGGTCATAGTGGGTTTATATTTGTAACCGGCAGGGCCGGAGAGTAGCAGTAGGAGTGGCAGGAGGGATGAGAGGCTTGATGGTCTACAGTCAGTCCCCCTGAAGTAGATAGAATATGAGGTATATGGAGATCTTATTACAATATACCAAAAGCCATATTCTATCTACTTCAGGGGAACTATGATCTGAGAAGGGTCTGGATCTTTTCGGATTCCCTTCTTCGCGTGCATACAGGGATAACAGTTCTGAGAACCGGCTTCAGGACCCAGAGCTTAGGCATGCCCCATGATACCCGCTATGCAAATGCCACGGAGTACGGAATATAGGCAAGCAAGAACACTCCCACCATCCTGTAGACCCCAAAGACGGATGCTGCCAGTACACTCATCATCAAAACGCACCCTTATCTTATGGACCTGTTTGAGAGACCTGGAGTCGATTGTACCCAACAGTAGCAAGAACAAAGAACATAGAAGAAAGAAAGCAACACGTTTTAAGTTATCAAGGCAACGCTTGTTTTACTCTGCTACCTTAAGATGTACTGCTCTGGTAGTTGTTCTTGCTCTTGCACGTCAGCGTTGTATGTGAGTCTTGGGGCCTTGCACCTGAAGTTCAGCATGGCTGCCCTGTTACACAGGTGTCTCTTCACATCACCAGTGTCAGATTAATCATGATAGCGATCGAAACAATGCAATGACAAGAAGGTCCTCCACCTTCTCAGCATTCATCATGTGCCCGTTGGCTGTATCACAACGACCCAGCCTTACAGGCCACCAGGGGCGTAGCTCTGGGGCAACTCTCTGCTCCATCTGGACTTCTAGGCATACCTGTATGTGGGGGCCCATGGTCAAGGCAAAGTACCAACATGGGAGGTTCCTGAAGATGCTCCAGACAGGACTGGGAACTGTTGCTATGCACACACGCTTCCAGTGGCCCTTGACCATTGAAATCATGGGGACCTTTAAGCCTAAATCCTTTAAAATCCTGGGGATGCCCAAGGGGGTTATTAATAGATGTTCTATTAGGGTTATATACGGGTTACATTGGGATAATGGAGAAGAAAATGGAAGCTACTATTTATGACCCATTCTGGGCTTTCGACACACGGAGTGCGCACTCCTTGTCCTCGATATCCAGAGGCTCGAAGTTGACGAGGCCTTATGCTGCAACGGGGGTTTAGGGCCTACCCGAGGGCTCGTTTGAGGCTTGTTATGGGATCTTTAGCAAGGGACTATAGGATACTACTCAAAAAGGAACTACATAGGAGGTTCTAGGTACCTAAAAAGCCAGTAAGCTGTCATTTGCGCAACTGCTCGCTTTTTTGGGGAGACCGCAGCAATGTAGCATGTCATGTTCGATAACTTAGCTTTCCAAGTTTAATAGGGTCATTCATCACGAATCCGAATGAGGTGCTGGTTGGAATTCTCATACTTACCAGCTAGCAGCTTGCGGATTGTGAACACCTACCCTTCATCTCCGAGATCTAGCTAGATGCCAGCAGAGTTTGTAGCTGTGTGGAAGCAAGTTCAGAGTTCCTGTAACCCACTGGATAACCCCTACAATATCTCTTCATATAATCCCCTATACAAGCGCCCTTTAAGGAGTTCAGACTCCACCTCATCTAAGGACAAACCAGGGCTACTCTCTGAAATCTAATCTATCCAAGGTTGCAGCTCTGGGGCGTTAACATGGGCCCTCAATCCTGGGCTGGCTATAATGACCACCGGTTAGGGGCCCATAGTTAAGGTTGGGTCCATGGCCCATGGCTAGGATCTTAGAATCTAAGCCTATGTCGCAGAACCTTTGAGATACACACATCTCACAAAACAGATGTACTCAAATCTGGTACGACTTCTCGACTGCTTAACACTTCTATGGAGTGGAGTGGTGGAATCGACTTCCACACGGGTCCGCACGTATACACTACAAGTCCAAGGGCGCTTCTAAGGTTTCAGCAGCGATGCATGATATACTTAGACCCTGGGGTATCTACGTAGAAGCCACTATGGAAGGGTCCCTCCAGATTAACTGGCAGTGCCAGAAGCCTCAACCCTAGACCAATTTTTCCCCTCCAAGCCATCCCAGAATCTTCATCTGAATTCTGCAATGAAAGTCCTCAACCCCAAAATCCCCTATTCCCTTAGACATCACGTAGCCCGTGGGAAGCTCAGCCTGCGGCCATAGTCCTCAATGAGCTCTGCAAGCAGCCTGCGCGGGAAATGCAGAATGTGAGCTTGGGGGGCATTATCAAGAGCGTTTGGCTTCTAGGGATGTGAGGGTCACAATGACATAATGGGATGAAATGGCCCTGTTTTCTCGCAATCCAGGTCCACGGGTGGTAGTTTGGTTTATGGCAAGGCCCTTATAGACGATGGAGTCGTAGCTCCTTGTCATACAGAGGTTACCTTTTCCCAGAGGTTTCGAGAATTCGAACTAGACGGAAATCCTTTTGGGATTTGGAGTTCATGCCCACAATAAGGGTCCCCCTATCGATGGGAAATCTCTGGATCTTCAGGCAACCATGTGACCAAGAGGATCCTTCTGACTCGCTTTTTGGGTCCTCAGGGCAATTAGGGCATGTCAGGTTTATCATCAGATCTCCAGCCTCCAAAACCTTCTGCAGAAACATTTGCCGGGCTAGAGCTGCGGGCAACTTTGTATGAAGAAGCCCCTCATACTTTACGATGCGCATAACAACTCGCCCCTGTCCAGACTTGCCCAGGATGCAGTGATTTCGTCTTCTGCCATGGCCATGAGCACTTCAGATGAAGAAGTGTGCGTTAGATTGTTGTGCATATCTCTACCTATACACGCATACATATATACACACAAACGAAACAGGACATGAGACCTTGTCCGGGAATAGGTCTTCCATGGAATCATGCTACATGTGCTGCAGCACGGGACCTGACCCATTCTCCAACCTCCACATCCCCTTGCTAACCATCAAGGCAGCTCAGATAGAGGCTTGGGGCCAAGCGAGCGTCAAATCCTTTACGGAGGGCCTCTGAAAGGGATCCTATATTTGGTACGCACACAGACCTATCTGGCCATGTGGTTTGCGTCCTGTTGAAGTCCTTGAACTTCACGCTAAGTGGATGCCTGGCGTCGCATCATGGACAGACCTATATAGGCAAGATCTAGTGCAAGCAAGAGTGTATGCTGTATGTACTCATTGAATGGGTGCCTGATACACTGTATATCATATCAGTTTGAAGCATATCGAGGAAAAACTCAGAACATGTCAAGGTTCCGCCCTCGGAAAGGTCACAAGGTATGCAAACAGGAGCGAAAACGCCGCAATCGGATCCTTGCAACAGACAGACTCAACAAAAAAGGACCTTGGTCCCAGACATCTCAACTCCCTGAATCCAAGGCTCCAAACCGCGCATACCCACTCAATCCCAATCCCCAAGCCCCAATCCATAAAGCCTATTCCCTCAACAGCAAAGTCGGGAAGACTTGTTCGTTTGAAGCGTCCACAGAAGCTGTGAGAGGTCGGAGACGCCTGCACATCACACAAGACAACATGCTCCAAGAATGTGGTATATTAGGGTTATATTGGGGTTATATTTGGATATTGGAAAAGAAAATGAAAACTACTGTAATATCTTTGGGGTTATATTTGGATGATGGAAAAGAAAATGGAAATGAGGCAAAAGGTGGTTCCTGAAAGCTCCAGGCTGTTCAGGGGATTCCTTGGTCTTCAGAAGTCGAAGCACAACAGTTTTTGTGTTGGGGTTATATTGGGGTTACTGGAAAATAACATGGAAACTACTATATGAGTTCGATGTAGCAATTCTTCAATTTGGACGCAGCCTAAGCTGGCCATCTATCAGAGCTCGTGTTTCCTTCGCGTTCATTGCGTTGGTATGTGCTGGGGGAGCTAGCTGTAATGGTTGTGGCTTTACGGTTTAAGGAATGGAACTTCGATGGGGTACAACCACAGGGATCCATTCTGAGAGTAAGGCCTGTATTGCTTATATGGAGCTTGCTCATCAGATTTTGGCTAGCGGCCTGTCGTTTTCCACGTTTTGGCTTTGGAAAGCTGCGCATCGTTTTGGAGGAGTGGCCCATCGACTCAAACAAGCCTGCGCTTCACAATAATTGTGACGACGCGTCAACTTCCACTATAAGGTTAAAGTGTGAATCCGTCTAAGCCTTGCTCGCGCGAGAGCGCTGCTTTAGGAAAAACCTGAGCGCGTCACAGCTTCAGGGCTTAGGAGCCCAGGGTACTGGTATCAAAGCAGGCTTCGTGCCTGAAACACACAAATCAATGCCTGCCGAACGTTTACTACGAGCAAATTCTGGAGTATAGCCCACCCACTGAACGGTAAGCGTTCGGAGCCTGCATAGTACTCCAAGCCGAACGTCAAGTCGTCAGTGTGGTCCTCCGACTGGCGCTTCATTGAACGAACGAGCCACTAGCTAGCCGAAGTCAGATGTTCCTGTAATTAGGCTGACCCTTGCAGATGGTATGTGCTGTGGCCACATGCCATTGACATCTACTTGCTACTGTAAGTGCTCTGTTCGAACATCTGCTGTGTGAAGGTTGCATTCCGGTCTTAGCGCCCAGCTTCACCTGAGCAAGCAACCACAAGGGTGCAGGTACATGATGCTTGCAGTCTCGAATAAATCATCTGCAAAGCTTTGACTGTTGTTTGGCTCTGTCTGCAAGTGACCCGCTCCCCCATATATAGAATATCCCCTAGTCATGAATGGTTTGGAAGCGCCACATCCTGGCAGGGGAAAGCAAAATTTGAAGGAGGATGGCACTGATGTGAATTAAGGTGATCTAAGGCGCGAACGGGGGTCCAGTATACGGTAAGTCAATATGGAATCATGCCGCGGCGGGAATTTCCTAGTTTCCATGGAAAGTATTGATCTCACAAGATTCTAATGCAAAAGGCAAACCAAGAATCTAAAGGGTCTTTCATTGAAGCTAGGTATTTACTGCTTGCTCAAAGAAATGTTGATGTCAGCAAGCTTCTGCTCCCTGAAACTGATTCTCTTTACAACAGGCAAACACATTCAAAACTTCCCGCGGAATCCTTCATCATCAACAATCCCGACAATGAGCATGAAACCGTTCTTGAGGCGGTCCTTTCACTCAATATCCGCCCTATACATTCATAAGTAACTTTGAGGCCTGGCGAGCATCAGTCATTATAGGGGTAGCGCGTTTTGAAAGGGTAATTCGCCGACCAATATTAGAAAATGTCCTATCTCCCCAAACCCCGAAACCCTACACCCTAAACCACTGAAACCCTAAAGCCCTAAAAGCTAAACCCCAAGGCCCACTTTTAACCTGGCAAACAGCCAAGCCTCTCAACCCTAAAGCCTAAACCCCTACCACCGAACCCTTAAACCTTAAGGTTTAGGGTTTAGGGTTTGGGGGAGTGCCCCCAGCATGCAACAGTCTATAACAGCGGTAATAGTAAGGCCTGTATGTAACTGTGATATAAGTATTTTCCAACTGTTACTGGGCGGGGGCAGTATCCCACATAAATCTAGGACCGCAGACCCGAAATCCCAACTGGATGTAAGACTTCAAGCCATCGTGATTGCGGGACCCCTAAACCAGTCCATGACCATGTCAATTTTGCTGAGCACGTTGATGTGGGGGAGCTCGAGCTGCATCATAGCTGAAAGCGACCTGCAACACTTGCAGGCTTGAGGGCGGTCCAAGCATCAGGGTCCAACCCTCTGCGGTAGATATCTTTGAGCATGTATGTACACATTCAGAATGTTGCTACTTTACAAAGTTAAGAAGATGGCGGATGTAGCTCAGCAGGTCAGGCAAGTACTTCATTAGCCTGCAGCCCGAAGCGGCATTCACGTCTGTGGCCCTGGCAGCATCACAGCTGAGATGTACCTGTAGACGTCCACGCAGAGCGTTGAGTCCTTGGAATCCCAGAAATGGTCTGCAGCCTATGCTTTGCGACCACTCCGCTGCAAGAAGCGCTCAGTTGGGGCAGGATAAATCTTCATTTGCTTTCAGGAATGGGAATGCAAGCTTCTGTGAGCAAGCATGCCGCATGGAAACCTGCAGTTGTATTCGAGCAAAGTTGCTGCTTGCAGAGCATGCTCACGCCGGTCTTCAAAAGGAGAATAAGAACTGGGAGCAAAAGAGGTTGCAAAAAGCAACAGCGCAGCTTTTGATCTGAGAACTGCTGCAGCTAATTTCAGAGATTACAGCATTGCTGCTCAGGCTCCGGCAATCAAGTGAACAGCTACCAAGCGCAAATCTAATGCCTCACAAAGGAACGCAGATGGGGCTTCTCTTGACTCAGGTGCCCAACACTCTAGGTGCATCCGTGCGTAGCAGGTCAACATCCTTAGTTACTTTAGGGTTTAAGGTTCAGGAACAGTAACTGGAGACTCAGCATGATCCTCTCCGAACCCCTTTGCAATGACAGAAATGCATGTGCCAACTCACTGCTCTGGCTCTTCAGGCTTTCCAATTGGGGCCTTAGTCAGCTGCTGCGTGATCTTTGTCATCACATCGTTATGCGTGTAGAGCTCCACCTCCAGCAAAGGAGCTATGATTCAGATTCTCTGTAGAAGCACAAATACGCTCATGCAAGAAGCCCTGAAAATACCTACCTTTTTGTACTCAGGGTGCTCGAGTGGATTCTGTGATCTTACTCCTTTCCCAGCAATCTGAACACAAGGAAAACCGTGAGCTGTCCCCAAGTATCCATGTGCGACTGGAGTTGCTCAGAACTAGCCTTGACACTGTTACAAAACCCGCACCTCCTTCACCCCCACCTCCTTGTCATCAAATTCTCCCCATGAATTTCCCAAAGCACCATACTGAGGGTGCCTTTTAAGAGGGGGACGGGATTAGTGCGACCGACGGAGCTGATGCCTAAGCAGCCGTTTTGGCAATGGAAACCATCAAGACACAAATCGTAGCAACACAAGCAGCACCGGAAACCGGGTCAACGGGCTGTGGCAACATCTATGACATGCAGCAACCAATGAGTGTCTGCAGACAGAACCCGGCATAGAAGGAGTGCATACCAACCACCAGCCCCAGGGACGCTCCGTTTTCTTGCATCTGCGATGCACGGCTCTCAAAGGTCTTTTTTCGGTATTCGGCAAGCCTTTCTGGCTGCACAGCATGGAATGCTAGAATCGAAGCCTCGTTTCTTCTTCTGCGGAAAGCATTTTCGGCATCATACAATATGATCATAATATGATAC